GTGATAAGAAGTGTCTTGAAAATTTGGAAGTCATAAAACCTTGCTCAGTTGGCCTACCAAATGGAGATTGTGCGATAGCCAACCAAAAGGGGAGTGTGGTTGTAGATAATTTGATCACCTTAGAAAATGTTTTGCTAGTTCCTCAACTCAACTGCAATCTTATATCTGTCTCACAACTTCTTGAGAAAAAGAATTTAATTGTCAAGTTTAATAATAAAATTTGTATTATACAGGACTATATCTCGAAGATGGTGATTGGAATGTGTGAGCAGGCCGAAGGACTATATTATCTCAAGAAAGGTGTGAAGGACAAAGTCTGTACTGTGAAGGAGGCGAAGGATCTGGACATTTGGCACAAGCGCTTGGGTCATCCCTCCTACACCAATGTCAACACTTTTCTCCATTTACCCAAAAATACCAATATCCCTGATTCCCCTTGTGATGTGTTTTTTCGTTCAAAACAATGTCGTGACTCTTTCCCAATTAGTTTGAATAAATCCATTACTCCTTTTTCCTTGATTCATTGTGATTTATGGGGTGGGTACCGTACTCCGTCTCGCACTGGGGCTAGATATTTCTTAACTATTGTTGATGATTTTTCTGGGGCAACATGGGTGTATCTATTAAATCACAAATATGAAGCTTCTACTGTCTTGCGTAATTTCTTTTCCATGCTTGAGCGACAATTCAATAAACAAGTGAAAACTGTACGAAGTGACAATGGTACAGAGTTCACTTGTTTAAAATCTTTCTTTGACAATCATGGGATTATTTTTGAATCCTCTTGCGTCGGTACCCCACAACAAAATGGTCGAGTCGAACGAAAACACCGTCACATTCTCAACATTGCTAGAGCCCTTCGCTTCCAAGCCAACCTACCTCTTAAATTCTGGGGTGATTGTATTCTAACCGCTGCGTATCTAATTAACCGAACACCCTCTGAGCTACACAAAGGCAAAACCCCATATTCCATGATCTATGAAAAAACCCCCTCATATAGTCATATCCGGGTTTTCGGATGCCTTGCCTATGCCCACAATCAATCCCACCATGGAGACAAATTTGAGTCCCGTTCTCGACGCTGC